TCCGTGGCGAGGCGGCTCGGATCGCGCAGCTCCTTGGCGCGTGGCGGGCTTGTTGAGACTTGCCCGGGCAGCGCACCGTGTCGGGCCCGGTCTCGGTGTGGAGCCGGGAGGACCCGGCGCCGCCCCGGGGTGCCATCTGGAGTCGGTGGCTAGTGGGGAAGCGGCTCTCAGAGTAATTTATTCAGTCCCCTTGGTTTTTGGTGGGCGCCCGCTAGTTTGAGATCTTTGGGGTCTTATTGGTTTCCCCCCACTTCATGCGTCTCGCTGGCCTGCCTTCTTGGGGAGGCGGATTTCCTGCTTGGTTCTTTTTCAAAAACGGTCTACGCAGTGGCTTTACGTATTAATTCTGTCAAGGGCAGTCACACCTCTGCCACTCAGCTCTTGTCAGATATTGAACCCTAGGGCCAGAAATCAGACTCGCGATGTCATCCTCCTGTCTGCCTCAGCGATTTCTGCCACAGCAATCCGGGGTCGGGGTCACATCCTTGCTTAGCTCCGCAGTTTTGTTTTACTGGAAATTATTAATCACTTGAGTAAAGAAGAATGGCGTTAGCCTTTACATATGGTTTCTGATCGTCATAAAGCCCTTTTATAGGGACTTGGAGAAGGCAAATCTAGTGACAGTAAACAGGCTTTAAAAAATAACAACTACAGTGTCTTGCATCTGCTGAATATGATCATTATTCTTATTTTTGCATGTAATAATATATATTTTTATTTTTTAAATTCAGTTGGCTAGGGATTTATTACATCCGTCCTTGGAAGATGAAAAGAAAAAGCATAAAAAGAAACGACTAGTTCAAAGCCCAAATTCTTATTTTATGGATGTAAAATGTCCAGGTAAAACTTCAAATCTTAATTCTTTCCTAAGAAAAACTTCTGTAGGGATTGCTAGTTAGGTGTGTATATTTAGATGCGTTAGGACCCTCTGTTGAATAGAAGTTGGATTACAGAATTAGAAACGTCATAAGGGACATTTTCACAAAACAGTTTGGGGGGCGAAGGTGAGAATCCAAAGAGGATATGATTTTTGACTTACTAAGTCTTTAAGCTTTCAAGTGATTAGTTCTCTTTTTCATGATGCATTGAAAAGCATGGCGTCTCTTCAGTTTAATGCTGTGCTACCCTGTATGGTGGCCGTTAGCCATATGTGGCTACTGAGCACTTGAAATGTGGCTAATCAAAATGGGGATATTCTTAAAGTGTAAATTAAACACCAGATTTTGAAACTGTAGAATGGAAAAGAAAACCTATTGACTATCTGTTGAAATTATAACATTTTGGAAATAATGAGTTCAATAAATTATTTATTTTTACTTTTTAAACTGTGGCTACTAGAAAAGTTAGTTGCATATGTGGCTTGCTATTGGACAGCGCTGAAGTTCTTAATTGTTTACAGGGTCTTCCCTAGAAACGTGTTTAACAGGTACTGTGTTTTCTTTTGCTTTTCACTTTTAACATTACCTTTTTAAATTTTTTTTAGGTTGCTACAAGATTACCACGGTTTTCAGCCATGCTCAGACAGTGGTTCTTTGTGTAGGTTGCTCAACAGTGTTGTGCCAGCCTACAGGAGGAAAAGCCAGACTCACAGAAGGTACTAGACAACTTCTGTCATTGCCAGCTAAGCAACAGATAACTAATGGTGCATGCCAGAGGTTTTATTTTTATGAGCAAGTACTTAATGACTAATAGAAAAATCTAATCGTCATTCCTCTTTCACATTACTGCAGTAAGAAAAACATAACAGCTATGTATATGGTTTTCCATATACTGTACAATTCCATATATTGTAGGTTTATAGTACCGTAATAGTATTTGAAATTTTTTGTGATATTTTGTGGAGCTGTGAATTCCATGTTCCTGCTGGAAGAGTTACAAGAGGATTGGCAACAAATCAAGATCTATTTTGTATCACCTGGTGAGATCTATGTTGAATTCAGAAGAAGAATTTAAGAGCAGTATTGCTCTTGAAAGTATACTTGCAAAGTTTCTGAAATCTTTAAGTCATGCCAGGAGCTTAGAATTTTGTGCCCATATGCTAACAGATGGCTAAAAGGGTGCATCTGTACCAGTTTTCCTACTAGTTCTGAAAAGACCCTAATAAAAATTACTTCCTTAAGAAAGTAATGCAGAATAGTTCCAAAAAATGAAGAGTGTATCTTCTGACAGCTTGTGTTAGAGAGTTTTAACTGCTGAATTCAGGTTCCTGCGTGTCGTACATAGATTCCGTTGTAGCACTGGAGGAACAGGAGTGACGGGGTCACACTAGAGTAGACCCAAATATAACAGATTGATTATAGCGAATTTCTGCTATAAAAGGGTGAATAACCTGAATATGAATATTAATCGAATATTTCTAAAGCTAAGGTTTTTTTGTCACTGAAACTATACCAAAGATAGATTTCTGTTTAATATGCTCTCGTGATTCCTTTGCAGGTTGTTCATTTAGAAGAAAGCAACACTAATGCTCCAAACAAATTCCTGAATTTCTGTTGTCACAGAAAGCCTTATCAGTTCAGTAATTCTAGTTAATCTACCAAGATAATGTAATTAACGTTTCATGGTTTTTTTTTTTTGTAAAGTACACGGCAGTCATCTATTTTGGTGTCAGTTTTTTCAATAAAGTTTTGATTATGGGCAAATCCTCTTTTTTTCCTTTCTTTTATGCATGAATATACTATACATTCATATATACTGTGTGTATGAATTTGGTTTATACATTAAAAAAATGTATTCTGATTAGTTTGTGTTTCACAAGAGTAGAAATGCTAAATTTTTGATTTTCAGTCCTTTTCCTAATTGCTGTGAACAGAAGTAAATGATTACAAATGGAAAGAAACCCATTAGTTTGCTAGTTACATAGTTTTGCTATTAGAACAAAAACAATACACGGATGTACAGTAAAACCTGCGAAAGCTAGAACCTATGTAAGGCAGAAAGCTGTCAGAGAAGAAAACTAAAATATTTTTCACTAAAACAAGCAATAGAAAAGTGGTAAGACTGCACCCTATCAAAGGCTGAAAACTTGCAAGACTTGGAAAAACAAAGCAGTCCGATCGAGTTCCGGCTGTCACAGGTTTTCTGTACAGGCATACCTTGGAGATATACTGCAGGTTCAGTTCCAGATCACTGCAGTAAAGTGAATATCGCAATAAAGTCACGTGAATTTTTTGGTTTCCTGATGCATGTAAAAGTCATGTTTACACTATATTGTAGTCAGTTAAGTGTGCAATAGCATTATGTCTAAAAAAACAATGTACACACCTTAATTAAAAAATACTTTATTGCTGAAAAATGTTAACCATCATCTGAGCCTTCAGCAAGTCGTAATCTTTTTGCTGGTGGAGGGTCTTGCCTTGATGTTGATGGCTGCTGACTGCTCAGGGTGGTGGTTGCTGAAGGTTGGGGTGGCTGTGGCAATTTCTTAAAATAAGATGAGTAAAGTTTGCCACATCGATTGATGCTTCCTTTCACAGAAGATTCCTCTAGCACACAATGCTGTCTCATAGCATTTTACCCACAGTAGAACTTCTTTCAAAATTGGAGTCAGTCCTCTCAAGCCCTGCCGCTGCTTTATCAACTACGTTTATGTAATATCGTAAATCCTTTGTTGTCATTTCAACAATGTTCACAGCATCTTCCTCAGGAGCAGATCCCATCTCAAGAAACCACTTTCTTTGCTTATCCTCATCGGTTAGTTTTATCATGAGTTTGCAGCAATTCAGTCACATCTTCAGGCTCCACTTCTTAGTTCTCTTGCTGTTTACATCTGCAGTTAACCTCCTCCACTGTCATCCATGAGGGTTAGAATCAAACTCCTGTTAATGTTGATATTTTCACTGACGCCTATGAAACGTGAATCTTAATGGCATCTAGAATGGTGAATCCTTCCTGGAAGGTTTTCAGTTTACTTTGCCCAGATCCATCAGGAATCACTATGGCAGCTATAGCCTTGCACAATGTATTTCTTAAATAATAAGACTTGAAAGTTGAAATTAATCCTTGATCCATGGGCTGCAAAATGGATGTTCTTAGCAGGCATGAAAATGACATTAATCTGTGTACGTCTCCATCAGAGCTCTTGAGTGACCAGGTGCATTGTCAATGAGCAGCAATATTTTGAAAGGCATCTTTTTTTCTGAGCAGATCTCAATAGTGGCTTAAAATACACAGTAAACCATGCTGTCATCCAGGCTTTGTTCCATGTATGGAGCATAGGCAGGATAGATTCAGCGTAATTCTTAAGAGCCCTAGGATTTTCAGAATGGTAAATGAGCACTGGCTTTAACTTAAGTGACCAGCTGCATGAGGCCCTAACAAGTCAGCCCATCCTTTGAAGCCAGGCATTGACTTCTCCTCTCTAGCTATGAAAGTCCTAGATGGCATCTTCTTCCAGTATAAGGCTGTTTCGTCTACCTTGAAAATGGGTTGTTGAGCGTTCCCACCTTCATCAATTACCTTAGCTAGATTTTCCGGATTAACTTGTTGCAGCTTCTACATCAGCACCTGCTGCTACACCTTGCATTTTTATGTTACAGAGATGGCTTCTTTAAACCTCATGAACCAACCTCTGCTAGCTTCAGACTTTTCTTCTGCAGCTTCCTCACCTCAGTTGTCAAAGGATTGAAGAGCGTTAAGGCCTTGCTCTGGATTAGGCTTTGGCTTAAGGGAATGTTGTGGCTGGTTTGATCTCCTATGCAGACCACTAAAACTTTCTCCATATCAGCAATGAGGCTGGTTTGCTTTCTTACCATTCGTGTGTTCACTGGAGTAACCCTTTTAATTTCCTTCAAGAACTCTTCCTTTGCATTCACAGCTTGGCTAACTGTTGCAAGAAGCCTAACTTTTGGCATGTCTTGGCTTTTGACATGCCTTCCTCACTAAGCTTAATTATTCTACCTTTCGATGTAAAGTGAGAGACGTGTGACTCTTTCTTTCACTTGAACACTTAAAGGGCACTGTAGGATTATTAATTGGCCTAATTTCAGTATTGTTGTGTGTCAGGGAATAGGGAGGCCCGCAGAGAGGGAAAGAGATGGAGGAACAGCCAGTTGGTGGAGCAGTCAGAACACACACGTTTATCGATTAAGTTCACTGTCTTATATGGGCGTGGTTCATGGCGCCCCAAAACAATTGTAACAGTAACATCAAATACCACTGATCACAGATCACCGTAAGAGATAAATGATGAAAAAGTTTGAAATATTGCGAGAATTACCAAAACGTGACACAGAGACACAAAGTGAGCACTTGCTGTTGGAAAAGTGGTGCAACAGACTTGCTTGATGGAGGGTTGCCACAAACCTTCAGTTTGTAAAAAACACAGTATCTGCAAAATGCAATAAAATGAGGTATGCCTGTACTTACTTGATGCAGTAACAATCACAGTGTAGTTAAGGAACTTGGATGATCTGGGTGGGCCCAATGCAATCACATCAGAAAGAGGCAGGAGAGTCAGGGTCAGAAGATGTTGACAATGGAAGCAGAAGCTGGAGTGATGTGGAGCCATGAGCCAATGAATGGCAAAGAAAAAAGGCAAAGAGATAAATTCTCCCCTAGAACCTCCAAAAAAGAACAAAGCCCCATCACCACGTGGATTTTAGCCCCAGGAGACCCATTTCAGACTTCTGACTTCCAAAACTATAATAAATCTGTGTCGTTTAAACCAAATTTGTTACAGCAGCAATAGAAAACTAATAACATGACCCAACTATCTTTAGTTGTGTTTCTAATATGGAAAAATTTTTTAAGGAAGAGCCAATGAGAAGGAATTCTAGGACTACAGCAATTATTCTGGCTTCTTTCCATTCCCCAACACCTCAGTCATCATGTGTGCCTATTAGAGTAACATGATACACAGTCAAACGTGAGAGCTGGAACGTGATGGGACTGCCTTGTTTTTCTGGGTCTTGCAAGTTTTCCTCCTTTGACAGGGTACAGTCTTCCCATTTTTTTTTACTGCTTGTTTTAGTGGAAAATATTTGAGGTTTCCTTCTCTGACAGGTTTCTGCCTTACCTTATAATCATCAAAATAGCAAAATTTGAGACATTCTTGCCAGGAGAATGGACAAAGGGAAGAATATCTTCCTATACTGCTGGTGGAAAGCAATCTGTTACCACCTGTTAACATTAAAATATTTACCTTTCTAACCAGAAATCCCACATCTGAAAATCTGTCCCATAGAAACAAAAGCATCAGTATTAAGGACATATTTAAATATATGGCAGCACTGTTTGCATTAAGGAAAAAGAAAACTAGAAACAATAGGAAAATGTTGAATAAGTTAAGGTACTTCCATACCATGGACTACTATGCAGCCATTGAAAAGAAGAAGGGAACGCAGTGAGAGTCCTACATCACACCATGTATGAACTAACTCAAAATGGATCAAATCTAAATGTAAGCACCAAAACTATCCATCTCTTAAAAGAAAACATAGGCATGACTCTTCATGACGCTGGATGAGGCAATGGTTTCTTTGATACAACACAAAAAGCACAAGCAACGAAAGAAAAACTGGATTTCAACAAAATTAAAATGAAAATACTACAAAACATGAGAAAATATTAGTAAGTCATATATATCTGAACAGACATTTCTCCAAAGAAGATACAAATGGCCAATAAGCATATGAAAAGATGCTCAACATTATTAGAAAAATGCAAATCAAAACCACAATGAGATACTACTCACACCCACTAAGATGGCTATAATAAATAATATGAACAGATTCATTATGGCAAATTTCTGGTACAAAAGGGTAAATAACCTATATATGAATATTAATCTAATATTCCTAAAGGTAAAGTTTGTGGCGAGGACATGGAGAGATTGAAACCATCATCCACTGCTGGTGGGAATGTAACAGTGCAGTTGCTGTGGAAAACAGTTTAGCAATTTCTCAAAAAGTTAAACATAGAGTTGCCATGTGGCCCCGTTGTTCCACTTCTAGGTATATACCCAAGAGAACTGAAAATGTATGTCCACACAAAAACATGTATCCAAACATTCATAACAGCATTATTCATAGTAGCCAGAAAGTGGAAACAACCCAATGTCCACTAACTGATGAACGATTAAACAAAATGTTGTATATTCAGACAATGGGATATAATTCAGCCAGAAACAGGAATAAAGTTCTGACACAGCTACAACATGGATGAACCTTGAAACCATTATGCCATGTGAAAAAAGCCAGACAAGAAGTCACATAACAGAATGATTCCACTTACATGAGATGTCTAGAATGGGCAAATCCATAAAGACAGAAAGTAGATTCTTGGTTGCAAGGGGCTGGGACAGGAGAGGAGGAGATTGCTGCTTGCAATGAAATGAGTGCTAATGGGTATGGAGTTTCTTTTTGGGGTGATGAAAATGTTCTGGAATTAGACAGTGGTGATGGTTGCACAACCTTTACATATACTAAAAACCACTGATGTGTACACATTGAAAGAGTGAATTTTATGGTATGCAAACTGTGAACTATATCTCAATAATAAAAATACATGATCGGAAAGAAACAGATAACACAGATTTTAGTACCTGGAAGCGGAGCGCTGTCATAACAAAAACCTAAAACGTGGGGGTGGATGTGAATGGAGCAGTGAGTGGAAGTTGGAAGACTCTGAAAAGAGTGTTAGTGAAATCCTGAGGAGCCTTGAAGGAACTGTGGAGAAGCCTTTGCGGAGACTGCAGATGTGGACCTAAAGTAAGGAAACCGGACGAAAGGGGATCCATGTTATGTGGTGGCAGGAAGTCCTGCAACACTGCCGCCAGCAATCACGTGGAAAGCAGAAAATGCGTCTAACGGACCGAGTGATCTAGCCAAGATTTCCAGACACAGTGTTGAATGCCTCCTGGCTTCTTGCTGCTTAAAAGAAAATGCAAGCGAGAGAAGCTAAAGGAAGAACTATTAAACAAAAAGCAGTCAATATTTGATGGTTTTGAAAATTCCCCTTGTCTCCAGATGGCAAATGATGTTAAAATTAAGAAATAATTTCAAGGCAAAGATAAAATCTAGGGTACTGCCAGGAAAATATGGTCTAAATATGAAAGTCAAGGGTATGACTGTAAAATATTTTCCTAAGACTTCAGAAAGAACCAAGATGGTGCCTCAGCAAGGCATTCAAACAACAGGACTTCTTAGATGCTATGGATGTTTTCTCTCAAGAAGCCCAAGTCAGAGAAGGGCTTTCCTTAAAGGGATTTTTGGGTGTGACTATTATCTAATAGGAGCCCTGGTGGCATAGTGGTTAAGAGCTCAGCTGTTAACCAAAAGGCTGGCAGTTTGAATCCACCAGCTGCTCCTTGGAAACCCTATGGGGCAGTTCTACTCTGTCCTACAGGGTCGCTATGAGTCGGAATCGATTTGACGGCAATGGGTTTGGTTTGGTTTTATTGTCTAATGGCACAAATCCCAATAAGATTCACAGGAGACACACTGTTTTCTTTTTTTTTTTTTAAATCATATTGGTAGAAACACTGCCAACTTAGACTTCAATGTACATTAAGAGTACAAAATGGAAGAGGCCTTTGGACCCCTCAACTTTGACAGGCAGAAAGCAGGCTGAGAAAACTACTCAACTGCAAACACATGCTACTGTTCGTGAAAAAAGGAAAGAGAACTCAGAGAGCAGAAACAAGAGCCCAGAGCGCAGAGCCAAGGGCTAAGGAGAATTATTTCCAAACCTTGAGTACTAAGCAAAGAGTGGTCAACCCGTGAAATTCTACGGCCAGTAGCTCCTATATGCCTCCCATTCCCCCCCGCCTTTTTGAACAGAAGGGTCTACAGCAGTTATCTTCTGTCCCACACCGTATGTTGCATATGTAGGAAACAGATAACTTGTCCCTTTAGTTCACAGGTCTTCAGATCAACAGGAACCACACTCGACTTGCTGCACTTAAGGAACTACTCCCAAGGAGCCTCATTCATAACCAGACCTGATTTAGGTGACAAGACACTGGACTTTGAGCTGATACTATAATGGGATGAAACTTTTGGGGACCTCAGGAGAAGGTGAGTGTATTTTACATGGGGGAGGGATATGAAACATTAGGGGCCAGAGGAAATACCGTGGTAGCCAACCTCCAAGATGACCCCCAGTGATCCCACCTCCTGATATTCACACCCTCGTGTACTTCTCCAACACTGTATCAGGGTTGGTCTATGTGACCTATGGGATATGGAAAAAGTGATGGTATGTGACTTCTGATGCTGGATTACAAAGGACACTGCCTTCTGCCTTGTTCTCTCTCTCAGATCACTTGGCTCTGGGGGAAGCCAACTGCCATGCCATCGAGACACTCAAGCAGCCCTATGAAAGGCACACATGATGACAAACTGAGGCCTCTTGCCAACAGCTCGTGAGGAACAGAGGACTACTGCCAAGAGCCATGTGAGTGAGCCATCTTGGAAGCATATCCTCCAGCTCCAGAGAAGCCTTCAAATGACTGCAACCCTGGCCAACATCCTGTCGACAACCTCACTCGAGACTGTGCCAGACCCACCCAGCTAAGCTACCCACAAGTCCTGAGCCACAGACACTGTGAAATAATAAATGCTTGTTGTTTTAAGACAATAAACTGTTATGCAGCAATAGATAACTAAGACACCATTCCTCATAATCTCATTTCTGCTGTCATTTGAAAAGAAAAAGACTTGGAAGCTTCTGTTGAATGCGATTTTCTCTATATTACAACATTCAAAAAATACATATTTTTAATCAGAATATTTTATTTCAAGTGTTAACACTTTTTCAAAAAGTAAAAACCATACAGTTTCTTCCCTGAGTATAAAGAACTAATCCTACGATAAAAGACATTTACAAAATTAAGCAATTAGAGGTACATAATTCTCTGCATTCAATTATATTCTATTAAAAATGTATTCTTAAAAATCTCATGTCTTTAGAGACTTCAATATTTAAAAACAAAACAGCTCATTTTGCACCTGTGATCTTAAGGTATCAATCTGATCTGTCTTTATCAAATTCCAGAGCAATCTTTAAAGCAGTGCTGTTGAGGCCGACAGACTGCATGTTACATATGATAGAAACAACTATTCCTCTTGGGGGGACCTTGTTATTTGTAGCGTCTCCATCCAGTTCTTCAGGAAGAACCAGCAGGACACTACTGGCACCCACTGCACCTCCAGTATGAGAGGCATAATGCCGCTGCTTCCTACAAGAACCATATGTTTGCTTCTTTTCCACCACGCCCCACGCCATCGCATATTTACCCTCTTTATCCCAAGACATCTCTGTGTTAGGGACCGGTGTCCAAATCATAACCATAGTTTCTGGTTTGAGATACCCAGGTAGAAGATTTTCATTTGAGTTCTTAAACAGTCCAACTTGGTAACCATACAGCATCGCATTCCCAAACTTCAGAAGGTCGCCCACTGTAGACAGAAATCCACCACCAGCCCATTTGTAGGAGTTATCCACGTAAGGTGTGTTGACAAGACGTCTATTTTTATTGTAAACATAA